TTTCTAGCCGCTATCCGGGGCAGGACGGTTCAACCAGATCAAACCATGGTATCTTTTAATGTCGTTTCACTATTCACATCTATTCCACCAGACCTGGAACGTGACGTCCTACGCAAACGACTCGAAGAAAATTACGACGAATCGAGGGGTCCTCTAAAAATTGACCATCGCATGCAAATCTTTGTCCTCTGCCAAAGAAATTTTCACGTTTAATGGCAGAAAATATGAATAGACCAAAGGGACGCCGATGGGATCCCCAATTTCCAGTCTCATCGCGGAACTGGTCTTACAGGAGCTGGAAAAAGTCGCCTTCGATCAGTTTGAACCTGCCTTCTGGTGCCTATACGTGGACGACACTTTCGTTATAATCGAAACGAGTAGGTTAGCAGACTTCCAAAACCTGCTCAACGGTATCTTTCCTGACATCCAATTCATGAAGGAAGAAAAGAGTGCCGGCACCTACCGTTCCTGGATGTCCTTGTCACGCGCAGACCCAACGGGGGACTCAGCACCACGGTTTACAGAAAGGCGACTAACACAACCCAGGTGCTCAGCTTCCATAGCAAACACCCAATAGCGCATAAACGTGGCTGCATTAGAGCACTCTTTCAGAGGGTGAAGACACACTGCAGTGAACCGGAGGGGCAAGAACTACGACATCTTAGGGACCAGCTGGCTAGGAAAGAATACCCGAACAGCTTCGTCAGCCACTGCCTCTGTACGTAACCACGAGAAACAAACGAAGGAGAGCCACCAACGCTCTGGTACCCTCTACCGTACTTAAAAATATGTCGGAAGCAACTGAGCGTATCGCTGCAGAGCTCGGCGTGGGTATTGCTCATCGTCCGACAGTCACCATGCGTTCACGAGTCACGCAAATAAAAGACCCACTGCATGTATATGAGCAGTCTGGCGTCGTTTATCAGGTGCCATGCCGCGACTGTTCTTGCCATTATGCATGGCAGATCGGGCGACGACTTAGCTCGCAAATAACGGAGCACAAAAGGGCGGTGCGGAGAGGCGACCCACTGTCTCAGATCGCTGCCCACACTCTAGAAGAAGGCCACAAATTCGACTTCTCGAGCACACGGATAATGGCACGCGCCGCTAATGAGACGGGGCGAGAACTACTGGAGGCCTGGGTGTCAGCCTCTACCTCCATCAACAGGCTTGCGGATATACCGCCCTGTTACCATAGAAAAATTCACGTCCATCGATCCTTGCTTTGCTGTGGCGTATATTTAGGAGATGACCGCGAGAAGTAAGCGTCTTAGCTTGGATATAAAAAATCATCCGGGACAAAGCAACAAGCCAGGCCATGCATAATACGGAATAGTAGTATGAGATGCCCTCGTAGTTGCCTGCAGGAAAGGGGAAATAGGTTGAGGGTTGACAGTCTGCTTACATAGGGCGCTGTTTCCACACCTTTGGTCATTTTGGCGTTCGCCTCTGGACCTTCTCCATACCTGTATAGCGGATTCTAGGTGCGGCCGAACGAAACTTCCAAATATTTTGGAAAAGCAGTCTTTTTCAAATCCCATAAAGGCTCGACTTTAGCCCGCTACAAAACGACCTCTGTTCGTTTAAATTTTAATACCTTTAAAGAACCCCCACCCTCCTTTGATATGGTGTGTGGTTGAGGCGAGTATTAATAATCAGGGGATAAAATTGTTCTGACTGTGATGGAATGGGACCGAAAAAGACAAGAGAATGACTATTTCTGGCTTTTTAACCGTCATCTGCCACTCATTTTTGTTGCTTGCGATCGCAAATATGGTTTTAATAGGGCACTAACCGACCTGGTTAGGGAACATGCTCGTCCCGTTGTGCCTTGGGGCCTGTTCTGACTGTACTGCGCGACCGCACTTGTACTGGTTGTGGTTGAGATCATGACTGATCTAGCCGGCCTCGATTATGTCCCGGACAGTACTTCTCCAAATGTGACGATCCGTGACAGCAGACCTGGACCGTTCAATCCTTTCTCTTCGCCAGCACCGGAGACCGAATACCAAATGTCCCAGAAGACCTTCCATGTCCTGACGGACTAGGTCGAACCAGGTTTTGAGCTGACCCCCTCCTCGACTTTTCTAATTGGGTAACGGTGTCGGATCGAGGACAGTAGAATTGAGCTCGCAAAGCTGACGATGAAGAGCTTGTCCAAACCACCTCGGTCGTCTTTCTTGGATGGCCCGGGATTTCCTTGCGATTTTGTCGCAGCGAGTGCTCAATACGGTCATCTTCACGAAGGGCCTTCCCGGGAATCCAGTTAATGGCGTAGTTAAGAAGAATGCGTGACAAGACACAACCTTATCAAACGCCAGACCAAATAGCGAATGGTACCGAAAGGTGTTCATTGACCAGAGCCAGCGCGGTGGTGGAGGGGCAGTATGCATTCATCGTGGCGAGTATTGTAGTGGTGCACAATCTAATGGCATTATCCGCTACAGGAAATGACGATAGACGGAATCGAAAGCAGCGGCAGGGTCAACAAAGGAGACAGCTGTTGGTTTTTTGTAGTTATGACAAAATCGAAGTATCTGTCTCAGTGCGAATATCTGGTCCACACATCCACGCCCAGCGCATAATCCGGCGTGGTTAGGCCGCGCTT